CGAGTGGTTAGCAAACGTAGTTATAGTCCCCAAGAAGGGGAACAAACATAGAATATGTGTAGATTACAAAGACTTAAACAAAGCATGCCCTAAGGACTCTTTTCTACTGCCAATATCGATCGCATGATTGATGCCACGGCCGGTCACGAGATCCTCAGCTTTCTCGATGCCTACTCTGGGTACAACCAAATACAAATGAACCTGAAGGATCTGGAAAAGACCTCATTTATCACCAAGTACGGTACTTATTGCTATAATTTAATGCCGTTTGGGATAAAAAATGTTGGTGCTACTTATCAACGCCTAGTATATTGAATGTTCTAAGAACAAATAGGTAAATCAATGGAGGTTTATATTGATGACATGCTTGTTAAGTACCTGCGCGTAGAGGATCATTTGACACATTTGCAGGAAACCTTCGACATACTGAGACAGTACAACATGAAGCTCAACCCGAGAAATGTGCATTCAAGGTCGGTTCAGGAAAGTTCCTTGGCTTTATGGTGTCAAGTCGGAGGATCGAGATCAATCCCGATAAATCAAGGCAATCGAGGACATCACAGTCGTGGACAGCGTTAAGGCTGTACAAAGATTAACAGGGCGGATAGGCGCTCTAGGCCGGTTCATCTCGAGGTCTTCGCATCGAAGTCACAGGTTCTTCTCACTGCTCAAAAAGAACAACAATTTCGCTTGGACCCCGAAGTGCCAGCAGGCATTGTAAGAACTAAAACGATATCTTTCGAGCCTGTCGTTGCTTCATAATCCAAAAGCGAACGAGCCGCTCTACTTATATTTGGCAGTCTCAAAAGTTGCGGTAAGTGGTGTCCTAGTTCGAGAAGAGCAAGGTACGCAATTTCCTGTTTACTATGTTCGCCGAATTTTAGGCGAAGTAGAAACCCGGTACCCACACTTAGAAAAATTAGCGCTTGCCCTAATAAGCGCCTCTAGGAAATTAAAACCGTATTTTCAATGTCACCCAATTTGTTTCGTAACACTTCTCCCTTCATAATATTTTTCACAAGCCCGAACTCTCGAGCCGATTGGAGATATGGGCCGTCGAAATTAGTGGTTACGTATCGAATACCAACCCCTAACGTCGATCAAGTACCAAATCTTTGTAGACTTCATGGCCGACTTCACGCCATCCCTCTTATTCGAGGTCGAAAAGAAACTTTTGATAAAAGCGGGTTCGTCTTCGGAGGTGTGGACCCTTTTCACAGATGGTGCTTCAAATGTGAAGGGGTCCGCTCTAGGCATCATTTTGAAGCCGCCTATGGAAAGTACAATTAGACAATCTATCAAAACCCATATGTTGACTAAGAGTGAGGCCGAATATGAGACCATGATTGCAGGTCTTGAGCTAGCTAAAAACCTCGGAACAGAGGTCATTGAGGCCAAGTATGACTCCCAACCCGTGGTTAACCAAGTCAACAAAACCTTCGAGGTTCGAGAAGATCGAATGTAGAGGTACTTCGACAAATTACAGGTAACCTTACAGTGGTTCAAAGAATGGACCCTACTACATGTACCTCGAGAGTAGAACGGTGAGGCCAATGCCCTTGCAAACTTGGGATCATCAGTCGAAGATGATGAAATTAGCTCGGGGACTGTCATACAACTTTCAAAGTCGGTAGTCGAAGAAGGCCACGCCAAGATAAACTCCACAAGCCTGACTTGGGATTGGAGGTATAAATATATCGATTATCTGAAAAATGGGAAACTCAAATCGAATCCAAAGGAATCGAGGACTCTACGAATGAAAGTTGTATGATTCACATTGGCCGAAGATGGGACATTGTACAGAAGCACGTTCGATGGCCATTGGCAATATGCTTGGGTCCGAGAGACACCGACTACGTCCTTCGATAAGTTCACGAGGGCACTTGCGGGAGCCATGCCGGTGCCAAATCACCGGTTCATAAAGTCATCAGAGAAGGGTATTATTGGGACAATATGGAAAAGGATACTTAGGAGTTCGTTCAGAAATGCTAAAAATGCCAAAGTCATGCGCTGATGATTCATCAGCCCGGGGAGCAGCTTCATTCAGTCTTATCCCCATGGCCGTTCATGAAATGGGGAATGGACATCGTCGGCCCTCTGCCATCGGCCCCAGGTAAAGCTAAGTTCATTTTATATATGACTGACTATTTCTCTAAATGGGTTGAAGCACATGCCTTTGAGAAAGTCAGAGAGAAAGAAGTTATAGACTTCATATGGGATCACATCGTATGCGGATTCGGGATACCCGCCGAGATAGTGTGCAACAACGGAAAACAATTTATCGGCGGTAAAATAACGAAGTTCCTCGAAGATCACAAAATAAAAAGGATATTATCGACGTTGTAGCATCCTAGTAGGAACGGACAGGCTGAATCAAGGAACAAAACCATCATTCAAAACCTAAAGAAAAGGTTGAACTATGCTAAGGGGAAATGGAGAGAACTTTTGCCCGAAGTGCTTTGGGAATATCGGACAACGACAAAATCCAGTATGGGGGCAACGGCGTTCTCGTTAGTATATGGCGCTGAGGCTCTGATAGTCGAAGTCGAGGAACCAAGCGTCAGGTTTCGATACACAACGAAAGAATCAAATCACGAGGCTATGAACACAAGCCTCGAATTGTTAGACGAAAAATAGGAAGCCTCCCTCGTCCGAATGGCTGCCCAGAAACAGCTAATCGAAAGATACTACAATCAAAGAGCCAATCTTTGACACTTCAAAATAGGGGACTTAGTCCTGAGGAAAGTCACCCTAAACACTCGAGATCCAAACGAGGGGAAACTCGGCCCAAATTGGGAAGGGCCATATCAGGTCCTCAGTGTCATCAGAAAAGGATCTTAAAACGTTCTTTGCAGTAGGATTATATTGATGGAATATGGCGAAGGAAACAGACGAGTGAAAATAGAGACTCAGCAAGAAAAAAAAAAGAGAAACAAAAAATAAAACGTGACTTAGTTTCAAGAAATGGGGAGGGAGATGACACTGGTTTGCTAAAATGAAGAAAGAGAAAAAGAAACCAAAAAGAAAAGAAAATGAATAAGAAAAGAGAAAAAATTAGTATTAAGTTTAATTAGTTAGAGTATCCAATAGGAAAGTGACACCTGGACAATTAAATTAGTTTAAACCTTCTTTTTTTTACCTCATGCGCATCTACCAAATGAGATACACTTTTCATGCCAGGTCATCACTCAATGGGATATTAAATTTAGTTTAGATAAGAATAGTGGGGTGTTAGGACACCCGTAAAGTTTGAGTGTGCAAATGATTTTTGCTGACAAGTTTAATGGGTACTTTATGCATTTCTCTTTTCATTAATTAATCACCAACTCTCCTTTCTCATTTTTCTGCTTCTGCTTCATCACAACAGAGCAATTCCACTCTTTATAGAGCATGCCTTCACAGTTTAAGAGAAGGAATAAACCCCTAGAGAATGGGCATATCCTGAAATTTGTATGTTGTGGCCCTGTGGATATATATTTTCTTGCATTAGGGGGGTTGGCTTTTTAATAGTAGTCAGAAAATGGGGTACCTTCTTATCCTTTACCATTCCATTTGGTGAAAGTAGCTGCTTTTAAAATATATTTTCACCATATTCCCTGTTTGCCTTGTCCATGTTTGTAGGTGATCAGCTGCAGAAAAAGGTTGCTGAAAGCTGGAGATACTGCATATGATTTTATTCCTATGAAATGTGTCGTCACTTTTAATTTCTCTTGACAGAGTTGAGACTAAGGAGGCAAATGACCTTCATAACAGCATATCCTTCGTCATATTCCTCATTTTCCTCTCCATGTTTTTTTCATCTACATTTCTACTACGTCCTGGGTTGTTCGTTTTTCCTTTTCTTATGGCTTTTCAATTTCACGAATGTCACTTTTGCTTATTATGTTCTTAAATATTTAAGATAATTCCAAGTCTTTCAGAGGTGAGGATATCAAAATTAATGCTTTCTTTGACTGACTTGGACACAGTGGCGGATCCACCTTTGGACATATGGGTGCTGAAGCACCCATTGGCTTTGGCCAAATTATATAATATATTCATAAATAATACCTAAAAATTTCAATAATTAACCATGAGCACCCACTGTGACCACGTTTGGCTATCTAGAATTTAAACTAAAATCATTGAAGCACCCACAACCTATAAATTCTGGATCTGCCACTGCTTGGACAAAACAAAAGTTCAATGACGCTTGTTGATCGAGCTTCCATCTCATATTACTCAGGTGTACTTACTGTGAACAGTAGCGAAGCTAGAAATTTTGGTATGAATATTCAAACTTTGGAGAATAAAATAAAATTTCTTTTTAATGAATGAGTGCACTGAATATTTTTCAACGTACACTATGCAACCTCCTAAAAATTCACATTAGCTAATTTGTCAACAATTGCATGATAGAACAAAAGCAAGCTTCACTAAGCGGATATAAGAGGATAATTAAAATGCTTCTTTGTCTCAACTAATTTTCTTAAAATATCACCAAATCTACATAAATTGAAGAAAAGAAAAGTTGGAATAATTAAAATCTTCCAAAAGCTACTAGTATAAAGAAGAGAACAAATTTTTTAGAAGAAAATAAGTGATTGCTATAGGTCGAGAAGATCAAAATGGTCCTTAATAAACAGTTAGCAAACAATTAGCAAATTATAGCAAATTGTTACGACGACGACATTTGTTAAATGCCGTGTTAAGTCACATAAATGTCACATAATCATTTACCAACATTTATTTGACATTTATATCAAATATCGTAAACTTCAGTGCCGGGAATTTTCCGACATTTAAATAATGTTGGCAAATAAATAGTGACATTTATCATCGACTTTTATCAAAATGTCACCTATTTAAATATAAGCTCAATAAAGTTGCGACATATAAAGAAATGTCAGCAAATATTATTCGTCATTTCTTCATACATAGAAATGTCGTAAATTATCATTGGTCAGCAGCTTTTTTTCTTTATATACGTAGAGATTAACTTTTCATACATTTCACAGTCATTCATATAATTTTGATATTACAATGTCATACACTACAAAAGATATTTGAATTAAAACAAAAGAGTACTTAGACCTTATTTTTGTAAATCTTATACCACCATTCGGTAATGGTTCTCATAGAATATGTTCAGAACAAGCGGAATGCTAACTATATATAAAGTCCAATGCCGACTACAAGAACATTGATTCACAACAGTTCGCTTAGTGAACCTCCGTACAAATTAAAGAGGCAACTGAAATCTCTATGGCAACACCCTTTGCACAAGACTGTCCTCTTGTTGACTCTAATTTTTGCATATCAACCTAACATAAATCCAATAAAATCATAAATTAGAAGTTAAAAAAGATTAGGCAACAAAAAATCAGTTAGCAGGTAACTTCTATAGAAATTATATGGAAAGTGGTATCACATGGAATGTTAGAACCTGCGCAGCTTAAGAACTTCCATCATACAAACAAAGAAGAACAATGATCTTACTTAACAAAAAGAAAAAAACAATAAGAAACTTCTAAGTCTTCCAGAAGCACAAGCCACAAATGTAAGCAAGTGATCCATAAAGTAAGAAAATACAAAAGGTGCTTGAACACACATACATCTGTTCAGTTAAAATAAATGCAACACAGAAGGAAAAGTTCGCTTTGTCGTTTTCCACTTCCTACTCCCTTTAACTATAAGCATGACATTTTAGTTGTAGAGTTTACATGATGTTCTGTTAAAATTATTTGCGTAGACTAATATCTTTCACAAGTGAACCAAAAGAATTTTTTTGATCTCATTGATATTGTGAAGAGATAACCTTTGACAAGGACGACGGCCCTTAAGTATGCTCCTAGTGGAAGTCATTTTGAGCACCTGCACGGTAATTTTGTTAGTAGTGTATTCCAGGGCTAATAGCCATGCTAGTGTGTTGATTTAGTGATAAGTAATACAAACTACATATTTATTTATCCCAATTGAAGGAGATAATCCTGTTGACTAGCCTGCAAGGTTTAGCAGGGGCGCAGCTAGCCCATCGAGTATGGGTTCGGCTGAACCCAGTCGCTTTGGTCCAATTTATGTATCTGTCTTAAAAAATTCATTGAATATGCACAAATTATTAATTTAGAACCCAGTAACTTAAAAGGATTACAACCCCGAACCCATAAACTTCAAATCCTGGCTCCGCCTCTGAGGTTTAGAACCACAATCAACACGAATTCACATGCCATATTTGGCTAATGATCATGCTAGAAAAGTCATATTTCTCATGGAGATATAAATAGTAGTAATATCCACATTCTTACTGAAAAGCAGAATGTCATCTCCTTGAGGGATCCAACATTGAAAGTCCATCATGAATAATGAGCTTATGTTGACATTGAAAGTCCTTCATGAATAATGAGCTTATGGTTATCTAGTACAACAGTTCCAAGGCTTTCTCCTCTCTAGTGGACAGAACAGAATAGCAAAAGAATCATATTAGAGATAAGTAAAAGACAAAGTTCACTAGAAATGTCATAGAAACTGCAAATACAAGTGATATAAAAATAAAAAATAAAGTAGATACAAATATTTATCCGCAAATTGATCAATTACAATACCCACTACTAGAAATTCGGCAAAAATCGACCAAGAAAAACCGACCAACTTTCGTCAGTAAAAAACTCGGCCAAAAACCGACCAAAGTTGGTCGGTTTTTCAAAATATTTTAATTTTTAATTTTTTTTTACGAAACCGACCAACTNAAAAATAACATATTTTTAATTGAGTCCTTAAATTATTCATCACTATTTGATTCAATTATCATCAATATATCTTGGTAAATAATAGATTTCTCAAAGGGCAATTGATTTGATAGTGTTAGATTGAAAATGTGGTCGTCGGAATATGTGTTTGGTGTATGTCTTATATTTAAGAAAAATCGATAAATAAACGAAAAAACCGAAAAACCGACATAAACCGAATAGAGAAAAACCGACTTAATTGGTTTGGTTTGGTTCTAATATTTGAAAAACCGACTTACTTGGTTTGGTTGCATTTTAGGGAAAAACCGATCCAAACCGAACCATGAACACCCCTAGAGGGCATGGTTTGAAGAGGGCCTATCATATACTACTATTTCTTGAATGTATAGCTGTAGTTTGATGCACTACTAGAAATTCGATAAAAACCGACCAAGAAAAACCGACCAACTTTGGTCGGTAAAAAAAACGATCAAAAACCGACCAAAGTTGGTCGGTTTTTCAAAATATTTTAATTTTTAATTTTTCTTTTACGAAACCGACCAACTTTGGTTGGTTTTCTTTGTCGCAAAAATGCGGGAAACTATTTTTGAGTCCCGCGAAATTTATTTTTCAAGAAACCGACCAACTTTGGTCGGTTTTTGCAATTAAAATAAATAAAAATTAATATTAAAAAAACCGACCAACTTTGGTCGGTAAATTCGGCCGGTCATTTTAGAAAACCGACCAACTTTGGTCAGTAATTTTATTTTTAATTAAACCGACCAACTTTGGTCGGTTATTTTCGTGCGAAAATACAATTAAAGAGTATAAATTAAAAAAAAAAAGACAATTTTAAAACAAAATGCACCAATGGTCTAGTGGTAGAATAGTATCCTGCCACAGTACACACCCCGGTTCGATTCCCAGACGGTGAATCTTTTGATTACATAATTAAAATACCGACCAACTTTTGTCGGTTTTTTCTTTTGCAATATTTTTTTTAATTTAATTTACAGACCAATGTTGGTCGGTAATTTCCGACCAACTTTGGTCGGTATATTAAAACGACCATCAAAATACCGTCCAAGCGTATTTGGTCGCATTTTGGTCGGTAATTGACCATAACCGACCAAAGTTGGTCGGTTCTTTTGGTCGGTATTTACCGGATTTCTAGTAGTGACCCCACTACCAATAACATAAGCAGAGAACTGTTAAATTCATAAATAAATCCTATCTATCACTTCTGAAAGCAATCATCAGCAACCATAACAAACTTCAATACATAATAATAAAAGAAAAGGTTACGACCATTTTACAGGCAGGAAATTTAATCCAGTTAACATAATAGAACGAAAATCAGAAGAGAAAAATTACTTACTCGCACCTTAATAACCTCGATCAGAAGTTTGAGAATTGTAGTATCTGTCATGTTTAGAGTTTTAAATCAATCTAAGAACAATCAGTAGTATATGCTAATTAAGCCCGACTATGAATTACGAGAAATTGATCCTAATGCTAGAAAGGTATATGAAGCGAATCCAAAAGAAAATGGCAAAAATTCCTAGAAGATTTCTGCGTTCATGAGAACCTTACCAATTTTATGAATGCGAGACGACGGCATCGGTTATTTGGGTTTGAGAAAAGGGAAAGTTTTGTAGGGTTTTTGAGAGAAAATTGTAGACGTCCCTATACTTAATATATTTTATGTTTAATAATTATAAATGTAAGCAAATTTTCTTCATTAGTTATAAATGTCAGTATATACCGACTAATATAGCTACATTTTAATTAAAAGTCGCAATAATTACCAAATGTCATTGATTTTACGATATTTGTAAATAAGTGTCATAAAATTAGTCTTCTTCCGACATTTATTTTACATGTCGTTGATTAAATGTCGCCGTAGCCCTCTTTCCTGTAGTGTATCTCCCATTTGTTATTTATTTTTCTCCTCCACTTAATTTTTATGAATCACAATCTACAAATAAATTGCAAATAAAAATGCATATCAACTGTAAATACATATGATTTTTCACAGTTTCATTTGCACGTCAAAAAGCTAAAAGAATGAACTGTAAATAAAAATACTTATGAATTTCATCGAATAAGTTCAAGGCCTCTTATGAAATTAAGCATCGAGTATTTTATTTCAATGTAAGTTGTACTTCTGATTTGCAGTTGATGCTTGTACGTGGCTCCTCTTTGTCTTTTGCTTTTTCTTTTTCTCCTTTTCACTTTTTGGCAGAAGAAAAAAAGTCTAATGTCAGACATTCTCGTCATTGATCACCTACCACAAAAGAGCTGAAAGCACATTGCTTTTACTTTAGGGCGTATACGTGATTATCTAAAACTAATGTCATTACCCAATTAAGTGATTATTGAATGGTTTGTATTTTCTTTTAACTTTTGATGCGTATATTGTTTCAAAAAGTGATTTTTTGGTATGACACCTTGTTAAATATTTGATTCTTTGCATTCTCATAGGATTTATTTAAACCAGTGAGTAACTAATATAACTTCTGTACCTGGTAATGTTCTACATGTTTCCTTGAATTCGCACAGCCACAAGAAGGTGGTGGTATTAGTGTTTCATACTCATCCCAGAGTTCTCTTAGTTTAGTATAGTATACTGAAACAGAGAATATGCCTTGAGTTAATGTGACAATTTCTTTGTGCAAATAACAAGCCCTAGATGCATTATCCTTATCAAATCTCTCCTTGAGATCTTCCCAAACAGTGTGTGCATCGGAGGCATAGATCACAGAGCTGATCAAACTAGGTGAAACTGTGTTCATTATCCAAGCTAGCACAATAGCATTACATCTATCCCACAATTCATGTAAACTAGCATCATATCTAGTCTTTCTACAAGTGCCTAGAACAAAGCCTAATTTATTTTTACCATGCAAAATAATTTTCATAGTTCTACTCCAAATTGAATAATGTTCTGAACCTTGAAGCTGAATAGAAATGAGTACAGAACCTTGAGTACCGGAAGGATGAATGTAAAGAGTATGATTGTGATCAACCAGCTCTAGAGTTGGCGTAGATATTGAAGCCGCAAATGGATAATCACCAGTTTCTTCATTGATCGCCATTGTAGCAGAGACAAATTGCTTCTGAAAGATAAGCTTTCAATTTGTTAATTTCTCACGAAATTAGTCTCGATCTAACCGTGAATCAACCAGACAAATGAGAATTCCCAAACCATAGAATGAGTGAGAAGTCTTCTGTGTTGAAGAAATAGCTCGATCGATCGATGAAATTGAGAAGCTACCAACGCAATCAAATTAATCCAGTTCTATCACAGCCGAGCTTCAGAGAATCGAGCACCGAGCTCTGATACCATGTTGAGAAGATCTGGCTATGGAGAAACTGTAGGTTCTAGAAGATGAGAGAACAGGAAGAAGATTGAAATGAAGCTCTCTGTTATTAGCATTCAAAGATGAAAATGAATAGTAGTACAAATACTAGTCAGTTATCCTATTTATACAATTAACTAATTCTAACAAATTACAACTAACTACACTTAGTGTATAAATAGCTAGGACCCAAATAGTTGAGTCCAAGAAACAAGGAACTGTATCTAAAAGCTCTACTGAAGATGAATTTCGAAGTATGGCTTCTACTGTAGCAGAGGTGGTGTGGCTAACAGGACTCTTCAAGGAATTGGGGACTGATATAGAGCATCCTATACAACTTTTTTGTGATAGTAAAGCAGCTATACAAATTGTTGCTCATCCCATCTTTCATGAAAGAATCAAACACATTGATATTGATTGCCATTTTGTGAGTGAAAAAATTGTACAAGGCTTAATTCAAACACGACACATCAGAACAACAAAGCAACTGGCAAACTTGTTAACTAAGGGTATGTGCAAACCACAACATGAGTATCTCGTAGGCAAGCAGAGCATGAAAGATGTATTTCATCCCTCAGCTTGAGGGGGAGAGTTAATTATTGTGGGTCCCAGCTATTTATACGCTAAGGGGTCGTTTGGTTGCCGGTTAGAGTTATGCAGGTATTAGTTATACATGTATTAGTTATGCAGGGATTAGTTATGCAGGGATAAGTAATGCAGGGATTAGTTATGCAGGTATTAGTTATGCAGAGATTATTTTTTTGAATGTTTGGTTTGTTGTATTAGAAATTGATATACATTATATAAATTTTAAAGTAAAATGCTTGTTTACAACTATACCTCTGGCCTTCTTTTGCATTGTTTTTTCTCTCTTTTCATTTATGTAGGAAACAATTTAGTTAGGAACTTTGGGTGTTACTTTCACTTCTTCGTCATACTACTGAACTATGTGAAGTTTAGACATATTTGATTTTCACTTCTTAGTTTTGGTATTTCCATTTTCTAGTGGCTTCTCCAGTTTGCTTTTGCTAGTTTGTTCTTTAAAAATGAGAGAAGACAAGGTATATAGTTGGCAAGTGAAAGCAAGTGAAACCTGTTGACGGGTTGGTAGAGAAATAAGGAAGCCTTATGTGTAAAGTGATAGGGGTAAATTTGTCATTTCAGTATTTTATCCATGTATTACTAATACATGTATTAGTTATTCCATCTTCTACCCTGCATAAAATAATACACAGATTAACTCATAACTTATACATGTATTATTTATGCATAATTGAAAAATGTCAACCAAACATGGTATTAGTTATGCAGAATTTTATACAAAATAACGATTGCCTACCAAACATGGTATAAGTTATGTTACCTCTTATACATGAATAACCTTTCTTCTAACCAGCTACCAAACGACCTCTAAGGGTCATTTGGTAGGAGGTATTAGAAAAAATAACGCGAGCATTAGCTCTATGCATTACTTATACCTTGTTTGGTACATTTTTTCAACCTATGTATAACTAATACTTGTATTAGTTATACATCATACTTGGTATATAATGCATAAGCAATGCATAGAAAACCATGGCATTAGTAATACCAAGGCTATTAATGCATGCATTAGTATGGTTAAAGACCAAAATTATCCTTAAAGTCCCTTAAAGCTAGAGAATATGGAAGGCACTTTTGTAAACAACTATTTTTCTTAAAAAATTATGCAATGCATTATAAGTTTAATACAACACACGAAACAGTAGATAAGAAATAATATCTGCATAACTAATGCTTGCATTACTAACACATGCATTACCAATCCATGCATTACTAATACACCTTATACCGCACTATTCTTATACACACTACCAAACGACCCCTAAGTGTAGTTAATTGTAGTTTGTTAGAATTAGTTAATTGTATAAATAGGATAACTGACTAGCATTTGTACTACTATTCATTTTCGTCTTTGAATGCTAATAATAGAGAGCTTTATCATTTCAGCCTTCTTCTTGTTCTCTCATCTTCTAGAACCTACCGTTTCTCCATAGCCAGAGCTTCTCAACACACCTAAGGAAGATTGTGATTTATGGATTAATTAGGCAACAAACAGACCTGGATTTTCTTCTTCCAATTCTTTATAGAATTGTTCTTTCTCACTTTTTTTTTTGGAGATAGCGGGATGCGTTATCAAACTGTCATTATTTTTAGATTCAGCAAAAATTTGTAACACTTTATGTGTAACACTTTGATTGGGTATGAGTTTAAGATAAAAAGAAAGACTTTTGAAACTTGTGAGTAAAAAACAAGCATTACTGAAAAATCGGTCTACAGTAACGGTTGAAAAATCGTTCCCACAGACTGCCTAACCGTTGCCATAGGGATATTGTAACGATTTAAAGCCCGTCACATCAGCCGGCGAACCCATAGGTCTATTGGAGCGGTTCTTGCAACGGTTTGCATCGCCGTGACAGTAGATACACCTATCGCAACAGTTTTTCCTTTCTCTATGGGAGTGGTTAGTTTTTTCAATTGTTACGGTTTTAAACCATTACTATATTATTTATACAACGGTGTTTAACCATTACCATATTATTTAAAGCAACCCTTATGTAGGCTATTGCTACGGTCATGTTGGATATAGCCACGGTTTCTTTAGGCTATCATAACGATTATATTTGTATTTGGAATAGTTTGTAGATCATTTTGGAACAATTTATGGGACCTATTGCAAAGGTTTACATTGTCTACTTGAACGCCATTTGTGTCCTATTGCAACGGTTCTGGTAGGCTATTGTATCAGTTCAGTTAAAACCAAAATATAGCACCTGTTATAAATAAATATTTATACATATAATAAATTATAATAACACTAAAATTTAAATACATCATAGAATGAAACTATTAATAATACAAAATTATCCATCAAGCAATTAATATCCATAAAGCAAATATTTTACCCCATGAGTGCATAAATTTAGTACATTTCANGAACTGGCAGTATTACTCAGGTATTATTACTATACATAGGAGACCACTTGGCACTTAAGAAGTCATATACTCCTACTAAATAGAAAAAAGGATATTACCATATCCACTCTGCCTTGAACCAAAGTAAAATCCCAAGCAAGGAAGGAGGAGAAGAGGAAATAGAAGAAGATGTATAACATTTGGTACATACTGACCTTGATTGTTACTACCAGCAGATGGTCGACTGTTTAGTTGAACAACAACTTGTTGTGCAGAGGAAGCATCTATAGGTGAACGTGCACTGAGCCTTAACATGTCAGGATCAAGTCGCAAATCTGGATTCAAGCGCTGAAGTCGTGCGAT